CGCGGACTTACCACACAATAACCAAGCATAATTTACAAATATATATATATATATATATATATATATATATATATATATTACCAAGCACTCACTAAGGAACTGTACAGTCTTGACGAATCTCCCCCAAAAAAACATGGCATCTAGGTTGTGGTAAGTGAATAGGATTTCTCTCAAGTTATTATGTAAAATGATATTTATTCTGTTCAATATGTTGTATATTTTAAATTTTTCATACATATTAATAAAAGATATAATAAAAATATCATTTTTTATGATTGTTTTTTTATAAATCGATACGTGTAATTAAGTTTATTGAATTTGTAACTAATCATTATTAATTGACAAAACATGCATTGAAAATATAAAAAATGTATATTTTTGAAACAGCTTTTTTTTAATATGTAACATTGTGAAACAAAGTGAGGATAAGTAAGATGGTGTTCTACCTTGATTGAATACAGTTGGGAATACATATGCAAATGGATTTCATCTTATTTACAATTTTCTATTTTGTTGATACACCCATTGTTATTTGATATGAAATGTACTCGCTGCTGTTTCACATGCATTACTTCGGTGACAATGGTATTTATCAACAAAGCTGTGAAGATTAAATAAAATCACTCAGAACAGTATGAAAACACAGAACATAGAAAATTAACGTCAAAGTCAAGAAGACAACAATATTAAAAACCTAGGATATCTTTGTAGCAACAAAAATTACTGTATAATATATACAAATAACTATATTATATCATTTTTTTCCAAAAAAATATATATATACAAATAACTACTCTCTCCATTATATGAGTAATAAAATTATGCAGACTATTTTACTATTAGTTAAACTAGGAGTAAGAAGTATAGTTAATCATATTTTTGTTTAGAAAAAAAAATTAAATATTTTTTAATCAGTATGCATATTCCTAAAAACGTGAGTTAAATCGAAGAGAACAATATATAGTAAAATCCATAAACAAACTTAAATCTAAAAATAAAAAAAGACATGATATTATATACTCGTAAGACTTATTTTTTATTTATTTTTTGTAATATTCCATCCATTTTATTTTAATTGTTGTTATAAAGTAAAATTTTCATTTTAAAATAAGTATTGTTTTAGAATTTTAATGTAAAATTTATTAATATTATATCCTATATAATTCTTTATATTCTCTAGTCTATTTTTATGTTAGTTGAAATGTAAATAGATTTTTAGCTAGGTNGACTTATTTTTTATTTATTTTTTGTAATATTCCATCCATTTTATTTTAATTGTTGTTATAAAGTAAAATTTTCATTTTAAAATAAGTATTGTTTTAGAATTTTAATGTAAAATTTATTAATATTATATCCTATATAATTCTTTATATTCTCTAGTCTATTTTTATGTTAGTTGAAATGTAAATAGATTTTTAGCTAGGTAATGATATTTTTATATAGGTAATGATGTTTTTATTTAAAAAATATCTAAAATTAAATATTTTCTTAATCTGTGTATCAAAATAAAATAGAAAGAACATATTTTTTATTATGTGTTATCTCTCTAACTTTTTTTCTTCCCCAGGTGCATTAACAACAGTTGGCGTCGTCTCTACTCTACCAATGTACTGGCGGCTGTTTCGTAAGGCATTACTTCAATGACAATGGTATTTATCAACAAAGCTCAAAGCTGTGAAGATTAAATTAAATCACTCAGGAACAGTGAAAACACAAAACATAGAAAACTAGCTAGCGTCAAAGTCAAGAAGACAACAATATCAACCAAAACTTTAATAATGTTTTTGTGAAATATAAAAGAAAATAAATGTGTTCTTAATCTTTTGATCCTTATACCAACACAAAAAAGAACTGTAAAATCTTTTGATCCTAAACTATGGAATCATATAATGGAATCTATATGCATTTTCTTAAAATAACAGTTGTTAAAGTTCAAAAAAATATTCAATCCGTTTTATATTAAGTGTCGTTTTAGAGAATTATTTTTATTATAAAATAAGTGTTTTTTCAATTTTCAATACAAAATTTATTTTTCTATTGGTTAAAAATATGGTTAGGTATATAGGTAATTGTGTTTTTATATGAAAAAATATGTAAAATTAATTGTTTCCTTAATCCTTGTGTACAAAATTAAAGTGACACTTAATATGAAACACAAGAAATAATATATAGTAAAATCATTAAAATCATTTTTCTCTGTTTCATTAATTGTCATTGTAGATTAAATTTTTGTTTCAAAAAAAAATATTTCTTTAGAATTTCAATACATTATCAATAAATTTTTATATGTTATATGATTTTTTATATTCATTAATTATTGTAGATTAATATGAAATGTGATTAGATATTTAATAATGATATTTATTTTAAAAATATATAAAATTAAATATTTTCTTAATATGTGTGTCCAATTAAAGTGAG